GAACCCTGCGTTTCAGTTGTCATCTGCAGTTTTCCAGGTAACCGAGGGCTCGACTTCAGCTCGCTAGGAGAGTTGGGGCACCAGATCCCCTCAGGAGCTTGTGAAAATGGCGCTAGCATCCCTCGGTGTCTGCTGCAGGCAAAGCCTCCAGTTCAGGTTACTCCAGGCCCTTGTGCCGACTCCCTCACGCAGGGGAGCCAAGCTGTGCTTGAGTCACCTGTTTACTGTCTAGTGTAACAGCCAGTGCAAACATGTCTGGGTTACTGTATTCACCAGAGTCCTTTTTCATTTTCCAGACCTGGTGCCTGGAAAATGACCCAAAAACAGTGTGTTGTCTTCATAAAAAGTAACAAGCAATGCAATCTCCCCTTCCCCCTCTGTTGCTGGAGTAAGAAGTTAGGTTTGATCCCAGGAGAAGCCATGGGAGCTGTGCAGTTGTGCCCTCCTGGGGGATGGGATTGTCCCCTGCTCACCCACGATGCTGTGAAGATGTTCCTGTGAGGGAATCGGTGGGACCTGGGGCCAGGCAGCTGCCAGCCAGAGCCTCCTGTGAAGCACAGCCAAGGGAGAGGTGTGGAGCACAGGCTGTCTGCTCACCTGCTCCTCAGTGTGGCTCTGCTCCCGTGCCCAAGGTAATGTCACAGCTGAGTTTGCATTCTGAGTTCAGAAATGAGTTCTGCAGTTCCATGCTTTTAGAGGAAGGTGACTGAGAGGTTAGTAGATAATTTAAAGCAAGTCTAAATTTTCTTGGAGATGACCTGAAGACTGCTAACAGAGGAGCAGGGAAGACTGGTACCTGTTGCAGGCAGAGGCAAGTCCTTCCTTGGAGTATATATGTGCATCCAAAAAGTGATGGGAGTGAATTTGTCTGCCCGTATCACATCGGCTTCATCAGGGTTGAGATGCCAGTGGTACAGGAGGTGCCTCGGGCAGGGAGTGCAGGCTGTGGAGAGCTGCTGGTCCCTGGGCTGTGCAGCAGCAGTGTGACAGATTCTTCAGACAGCCTGTGCTTGCCCTGCTGCTGCAAAGGCACTTCTGCCAGTCCCAGCTGAGGGCTCCATGTCACTGTAAGGAGGAACTGAGCAGCCATGTGCCCGTGGTGCTCGCTGCCCCGTGGGGCTCTTGTGCAGGGTAAGGCCCTGTGTAACCAGTGGGTGATGGGACTGAGCCAGGGCAGGCTGGTTAATCAGTGACTGAATAGATCACCCTGAGTCTAGGTAACCCACACATGCTGTTTGAGGCTGCCATCAGCACCCATCTCTCAGGTTCAAGAGGGAAGAAAAGGCCCTGAGAAGTGCCTGCTTGTAGTGGACCACCAGTAGGTTTCCTTGCAGGAGCCCAGAGCTGGCTGATCATCTCTAGCTGTTCTGTTTGCTTTCCAGGTTGTCTCTTTTTATCAGTGCTCAGACTCTCTCTGCTGTTCCCAAATTGTACATTAGAAAGTCTTTTCCCTAGGAGCTGTTTCACCCCATCAGAAGCACAGGCCAATATGCTCCTCGCTGTGTTCAGGGCTCTCCTGCCTCGTACTGAGATGGTTCAGAAAAGATGCCTCTGCTGCATACAACTGTTGTGCTTAGGCTTAGACTGGTGCAGCTCATTCAGTAGGAGCATCATTAAGCTCATGGATGGCACGAAGAAATGAACTCAGCTAAGCCTACAAAGCACAGATGCAGGCAGGGAGGAGGACATCAGGGTGCACACGTCCTGCAGAGCTCTTTCCTTTCTCCTCTGGCTACGCCGTCTGAAGCTCCAGCTTTTCATCTTGGCAGAAGATTTTTATAAGGGCTGTAAATTAAGGATTTATAAGTGTATACATGGCTATGATGTTTCATTGGTCTGAAGTGCAGGGAAAGAAAGAAACGTCTCAGTGACAGAATACAGTGTGGGGTGAGCTGGGTCAGTGGAAACATATGGAAATGGTTTCAGAGACGGGGAAGAGTCTGGTCCTGTGCCATTTCTGCCCTGCCTGTGTGCACACGTTCACACACACTTCCCCACAAAGATGGGTCTGCTGCCCAGCATTATCAAAACCCTGTTCTCTGTGGAGCTCGCCGCTTATGGAAGGAAAATATAACAATGAATAATCATCTTTCCAGCTTCAAGGCCACTTTAATTTTTTTTCCTGACTCAACTGTTGCTGGGACTGAGGGTGTGAGCTCCGGGGCAGACATCTGCAGGGCTGCACGTGCTGCAGCCTGGGCTCTCCAGAGGAGCTGCCCGGGGCACCCCTCGCCCGTCGGGTTCCGTGGCAGGAGCAGGGGGACTGCAGAGCAGGCTGCCCTCAGCTGGGGCCAAGGGAGTGGCTGCAGAGCTGTGCTGGGTTCCCCCATGACACGCTGTCCCTGCCCTGCTCCAGGCAGGAGGCAGCCAGAGGGACACGGCACCCAAGTGAGGATCTGGACTGTGTCCAGGCTGCCCAACCTGCTGGGAGCTTTCTGAGTGTCACCACCACCAGCAGCACGGCATTTCTCCCTCCAGCAACTCCCCAGCTCGTCTTCCTCCTGCAACAAGATAAAATCTTGAGCTTAAGACAACACTCCAGTGCCTGCCAGCCCACAGACAAAGTCCTGCTGCTCCTTCAAACACAGCATGCACCACTGCTGTGCAGGAGCAAACCCCATCCTCATCCCTGCTCCTTACTTCTCTTTACCTCTCAGTTACTAGCAGTACATACAGCCTCTTTCTTGTTCCTTCAGCATTTTCTCTTAGGAGAAGCCAGTCCTGCTGTCACTCGTGTGCCTGAGTTGACTGAGCATTGGCTTTTACTTGTAGAATGTGTCTGATCTCTGTTTTTCTTGTCTTGGCAGGTGGTTATGGCTCCACATGAGCCCCCAGTTGTGTTTGTTGACAATTACATCAAGCTCCTTGCTGACTGCAGCACCGACACCTTCCAGAAGATACTAGACATGAAGGTTAGAGCTTGTCCCACAGTTTCTGCTCATCCACTAGCACTGCTCTGAGATTGTTGGTGGCTTTTTGGGGATAAATATAGAGGGGTTTGGGAGTGAGAAAAGCACACCGAGACAAGTCTATCCTCCGTACTCTAGAAGTGTGTGGTGTTGCTACTGAAGAGGAGCTTTTCAGTTCACTTCACATGCTGATAGCTGCTCTGGCTTCTGGAGCTGAGCTCAGTTGCCTCGGGATCATCCAGAGGTCTACATACAGCTTTTGGTAGATGAACAAAAGGCCAAGCTTTGAAATAAAATCTCCTGCAGCTCTTCTCATGCACCAGATCCATGAAGTCTAACCTCCTGCTTCCCTGTTTGCTCCCACAGGGCCTGAAGAGGAGCGAGCAGAGCAGCATGCTGGACCTCTTCCGCCAGCGCCTCCCAGCTCCCCCCTCTGGGGGGGAGAACAGCAGCTCCCTCTCCCTGAGTGCCCCCACGCCCGAGCAGGAGTCCTCTCGGATACGGAAACTGGAGAAACTCATCAAAAAAAGACTCTAAGTGAGCAGAAGGAAACTGTTGCTCAGGACTAGCTGCAGAGACTGGGAGGAAAGCTCATCAGACTTGTTATTTACAGTATGCTGCTGAAAAAACAAACGTGTCCCATCCCTCCCGTGCCCTGTGATCTGTGAACCATCTTACACTGTGGTGCTGCAGCTCCATACAGACCAAGGGAGACTCTGACCATGGTGTTTGCCCTTGGGCAGCTTAGCGGCAGCGAAACCCAGGGCACTGGTGGGTCCACGTGGTGGAGAAAATAAGAGGTACCTGGAAGTCAGCAGCTGCAAAACCAGTTTGGGTGAATGCAGAGAATATCTGGCTGTGATGCTCTTCGTGTCCCAGCCTTCAGCCTGGCTGAGCTCCTGCTGCAGCACTGAGGATTTTGCCTGAGAGTTTGCTGTCACTGCTTACTCCCCATTGCAGAGCTGTTCCTCTGTTTCATTATTTATTGCAGGAGAGGGGACCAAACCTGACCCATCACCACCACCAAAAAAAACCCAACCCTTTACCAGCTGGGATCCAAGCATCTGCAGCTCCACTGAATTAATGAGATGTGCAGGAGAGAACCCCAAAGCAGATTCCTCCCCTGCTCCCAGGACAGGTGGCTGAAAACCACCAGTAAAACAGCGAGGCAGCTTCTTTTCAGAACAGGAGGAAAGGGCTGGATTAATCCCTTCTGCACCTTGGCAAAACTCCTGCCAACAGCCCAGCAGCTTCGGATGCTGTTGCAGCTTGAAGGCCAAGCCCCAGACATCTGCAGAGCCCATCTCCAGCTGGTTGCTGTTTCTCTCTCGTGGGCTGGACTCTCTGGCTGTCCCCGTGGGAGTTCCTGCGGCGCATCTTGTCCTCTGTCCACAAAGGGGCATTCATGGAGCAAGTGTCAAACAGCACCAGGTGCCATGCTGTTTCTCTCTCGTGGGCTGGACTCGCTGGCTGTCCCCGTGGGAGTTCCTGTGGCGCGTCTTGTCCTCTCTCCACAAAGGGGCATTCATGGAGCAATTGTCAAACAGCACCAGGTGCCGTGGCCCCCACAGGGGTGTGCCCCTTTGGCACCTTTGCTGCCCTGCAAGCAGAGGTGCTGGAACTGTTGGCTTTAACAGGCCAGGATGCTCACACCAGACTCAAACTGCAGCGGCCTTCCTCCCGTCCTTCTCTGAGCTTCAGCTTGCACCACTGCAGAGAGGAGAGCCTGAGGTGAAATCCTTTGGATAACCCAGACCCCGCTTCCCAGGGAGCCAGCTCCTGCTGGCCCCAGCCCCAGAGCCAGCATGGGGCAGGGTTGGGGTCAGTGGCCATCTGTGCTCTGCCCGTTGGGTGAGCTTCCCTGAGGAGTCTGTGCATGGGGACGTCACCGCGTTGTTAGCCACGCTGGATTTCTTCCCAAGCTCCTCTGGCTTGAAGGCATGTGCCCAGCCATGAGGGATGGAATCCCATGTGGGTTTAGGGGCAGATCAACCAGTCGTGCCTGCTTTGTTTTAACTCAAGCTTCACTTGCATGTGCAGGAAAAAGTCCTGTGCCAGTTCAGTAGGTGAGGAGCGATCACGCTGTCAGATGCCTTCTTGAGAGAGTCTTGCTCCCCACCAGGTCAAGTTTGGGCCTTAAGACTGTATTTATTTGGGACTCTGCTCACTAGGGATTGTTGTACTCACTGCTGCACAGCTGGAGGGGAGGAATCAGACCCACTCCAGGAAAATGAGCTCTGTCCACACAGACCCAGAGCTTCACTGGGCCCGGGAGGGAGGAGGTGAAATGGGAAATCCCCAAGTCAGGCAGGACCTGGGCTCATGCTGCATCTGCCTGTTTGTGCTTCAGCAGTGTCCCTTCTCAGGTGCAGGCTGCTCCCCATCCCTCTCCTTGCCTCCCACGTGGCTGTGGGAGAGCAAATTTGGTGCCTGGTTGGTAAAATCCCATCCTGCCTTTGCCCAGCCAGCAGCTGAGGTGGCACTTGGACAGGCAGGAGGCGACCACAGGATTCGAGTGGGAAGAATTAAATCAGCAGAGATGAAATCCTCCCAGGTCAGGTCCTGTGACACTGCTCAGAGTGCTGCTGCTGCAGCCAGGTGTGCCCTGACAGGGACCCCAGCACCAGCTCTTCAGGGTGTATTTTCAGGGCTCCCCAGGCTCGGGGTGCTCAGCGGTGATGCCTGTGGCAGAGCAGCAGTCACGACACTTGTGGGGAAGGAAGGCAGTTTCTCCTCACTCCAGTTTTACAGATCTTCCCGAGTGTGCAGCTGCTTCATTTATTTCCTCTCCTGATTTCACCTCAGGTGACAGAAGAAGAAATGGTGGTTGAAAGCACGTGGGGATTACGAGCAGCCATTCCCCAAGGACAGGTTATCTCAAGGTGCATGTGCAGGGTGGTTCACACGTTATCAAATGCAAGAGCTGGGGAGGAGGGAACCTGGGTTTGCAGAGATTAATTTTCCCATGGAGGGATGAATAATTTATTTTAGATTCATTTTTATTTGCTTTGTCTATGGATGACTCTCTAACTAAATTATTAATAGCTGAAGACAATGTTGAAGTTATCGTCGTGTGTCTTTCCCTGAAGGCTTCCCCTGTTTCATTCTCTGCATTTCATTCTGGAGAGAAGAGGAAATACAAGGAAAAAGGAATTCTTTGTTTCAGCCTTTGAAGAATGCCACAGGTCTGGGTGTTCAGACTTCCACTTCTAGAGAGCAAGGCCACGGTTTTCTACTTTTGGTATAAGGGTTTTGTCCCCCTGGCTGCTGGGTGTTGATCAGGTTTGGCACATCTGTGGGTGTACGTCAGCTCTTTGGGTTTTACATCTCTGGGGAATAGAGGATGGGTTTTTTTGTGTATAAAATGCCACCTTTTATGTTTTTTGGCCGAGGTATAATTCTGGCTGTATGTCGGAGTGTGACACTAAAATGAATTAAATGGTTACTGATGTTCATCAGTGGGTGTTTTCTGTACAACTGCCATGCAGCAAAGCCCAGGGCCGGGCTGGGCCTCGCCCAAAACGCGCCGGCCCCAGGGCCCTGTGCTCTCTGGCTCCATTGCTCTCTCTTTTCTGGCTTTTCCACCTTCTGCTGCTCCAGCAGGCAGCTCTCTGCCCGCAGCGTCTGCGTCCGCAGCATGAGTGATCGGATCCGTCCTGCTGAGTTTCACTGCTCCAGCCGTCCCTGTGAGATCCTAGTTTTCCCTTTGAAATGAAGAGGTGGTGCCTTTTTCCACACGGTGCGTGAGGCTGGAGGAGTTTCTTTCACTTGGAGAACGAATGACTCATTTGCTTTTCTCCTGTGGGTCCTGCCCCTCCACCCTCGGGCAGGAGCAGCCCGTGCCAGGCCACCCGTCCTGCTGAGTTTCACTGCTCCAGCCGTCCCTGTGAGATCCTAGTTTTCCCTTTGAAATGAAGAGGTGGTGCCTTTTTCCACACGGTGCGTGAGGCTGGAGGAGTTTCTTTCACTTGGAGAACGAATGACTCATTTGCTTTTCTCCTGTGGGTCCTGCCCCTCCACCCTCGGGCAGGAGCAGCCCGTGCCAGGCCACGCAGGGGGTTGTTTCTCTCACCAGGCTTACAGCACGAGGTCGAGCCTCTGAGTGGTGGCATCCACGCCTCC